CCCTTCCGGCCCCCATGCATGAAACCTCCCGGATCGCTCCCCAGCCAGCCCCTGAGCCCCCGGGATGGAGATGGGCATGGGGGACCGTGGTGGCACCAGGAGCAGGAGGGAGGGCAGGTGGCAGGGGGGACTCCAGGGCAATAGGGGGGACCCTGGGGAGCCGTGGCCATCCCCGAGCAGGGTTATTCCCCTGTGGCATTGCTAGGAGGGCTGTACGGATGACGGCAATGCAGCAGCTTGGTCCCTGGCTCACCTGCGGACCTCGGCCAAGGGGCTTTGGGCCGGGGGGGGGACATGGGCAACCCAGCAAGGGACATGTGTGTGCGCCCCCCCCCATCCCACTGTGGGGGTTCCCAGGGTCAGTGGATACTCACGAGTGTGCGAGTAGATGTACCAGAGCCCGGCGGTGAGGAGTGCCCCGATGAGGAAGGCGCCGAAGGTGATGCCCAGGACGGCGGCCAGCCCCAGCCCGCGGTCTGCAGGAGGATGAGGCCGTCAGCACTGCCACACTGCAGGGGGGTCCCCTTCCCACCCCCATTCCAGCCCTGGCCCCCTCCCCTGCCCCAAACTCACTGTTGGGCGGCCGCCAGCCGTCCTTCACCGTCACCTCCAGGACCTTCTCGAAGATGGTGGTGTTCTGCAGAGGTGGAGGTTGGGGTGAGATGGGGGGAGACCCGTACCCCAGCAGGGAGACAGGGCTGGGAGCCCCCAGGCTCTCTGGGGATGCTGCTCCTGGCTGGGCTCTGCCCCCCGGCGGGGGGGGACAAACCCACCAGGCTGCCACCGCTGATGGTGGGGACCAGCATGGTGGCATCACAGGGTAGGGGTGTGGGGTTACTCACGCTGACCTGCAAGCCGGCCTTGCACTTGAGGGTGGCGGAGAAGGGGACGCGCCCACCCTCAGGGACGGCGTAGGTGAAGCGGAAGCGCCAGACCTTCCTCCCATGGCTGCTGGGGGGGCCCTCCAGCACGGCCACCCCCGCGCCGCGTGCCTCCCCGCCCTGCATCAGCAGCACCGGCTCCCGCCCCGGTGCCGCCAGCCAGCACTCCTTCAGCTGCAGGTCAGCCGGGTGGTCCTCCCACCGCATGGACGCCTGCCGCAGGGGGGGGAGAGGGGGGGACACTGTCAGAGTCACCGGCCTGGGGATGGCTGGACCCCCTCCAGCCTGGGCACCGAGCTGGTGATGGTACCTGCACGAAGGCCTCCTTGTTGACCTCCAGCTCTGTCTGTGGCACCTCGAAGGCGGCAGTGGGGAAGAGGCGCAGGAAGAGTTCCCGTGGGATCTTGCACTGGAAGGCCACCTGCAAGCAGGGATGGCGCTGAGGCCACCCCCCGGCGCCCAGCACCCAGCCGGCAGTGGCACCGGCACCCTTCTCCCACGGTCCCACCCCTGGGCCTGCTGGGAAACCCGGCTCTTACCCGCACGCTCTGGAGCGCTGCGCCCTTGGCCAGGTTGAGGATGAGCTGCGAGAAGGTGGGGAAGGTTGGGTCAGCCAAGTGGTCCCCACCGCTGGGGTCCCCACTGGGATGGGATGGGGGTGGTCCCACCATGGGATGGGATGGGATGGGATGGGATGGATGGGATGGGGATGGGATGGGATGGGATGGGATGGGATGGGATGGGATGGGATGGGATGGGAACGCGCAGCGGAAGGTCTCACCCCTGGGCTGCAGCAGGATGTTTCCAGCCATGCAAGAGCAAGGAGGGCCCAGTGGAGAAGCCCCGCCGGGCATCACTGAAGCCCCCATGGGGCATCAGCAGGGCTGGGGGGCAGTGCCCCAGCCAGCCCCCCCCTCACCTCGTTGTTGGCATGGCCCTTGCCCTCCAGCGAGGTGCCGCAGTGGTTGAGGGGGGTTTTCAGCATGAAGTGAGTGGCGTTTTTCTCTGCCTGGCAGCTGATGTCCCGCAGGGTGATGTTCACCACGTCCTTGATGGGCTGGGAGAAAAGCACCCAGCGGTCACCCACCAACTGGGGGCGACCCCATGCCACCCCGCTCGAGCATCTGGAGCAGGATGCGACACCC